AGCAGCTCCCTCCTCTCTCCGTGTCCTCACCCAACCCGAGGGAAGAACCACAAAGAAGAAGCCACCAAAAAAGGTGCCACCTGTGTCACCTCCGTGTCCTTCCTGCCTCCAGAAAAAAAAATCCCCTTCTTTCTGGGAGGATCAAGCGTTGTTTTGTATATTTTTTTTTTGTTTTTTGTTTTCTTTTTTTTGCAGAGTTTTCCTAAAACAGGTGGAGTGCACACGTCCAGCTTTTCCCCACAGCCAGGACCGGCAGCCGCTCTTCCCAAACTTTCCAGAAAAAGTTTGTGGTGATTTTTTTTTTGGGTTTTTTTTTTTCCCGAGGGGATTCATCCCAAAATTATAGTTGGAATCCTTCCATGGGGGCCTCAGCTTGCTGGAAGATGTATTGCTGTTGGTTTTCATCCACCTGAGGAGCCACGGCAGCGTCGTCCTCCACCCCAAAGTAGTGCTCGATCAGATCAAAAGCTTTCTGGTAGATCTCCTGGTTCTCGTGGCTCTGCAGGAATTCGATCTTATCCAAACCTTTGGGGAGGAAAGAAAGGGGAGAAAATCAACTCTCCATCCTCGTCACTGAAAGAATTTTGTCTTATCCAAACCTTTGGGGAGGAAAAAAGGGGATGAAACTGAGAAATCAACTCTCCATCCTCGTCACTGTTCCTGAAAGAATTTTATCCAAACCTTTGGGGAGGAAAAAAAGGGATGAAACTGAGAAATCAGCTCTCCATTCTCTTCCTGAAAGAATTCGATTTTATCCAAACCTTTGGGGGGAAAAAAAAGGGGAGAAAATCAACTCTCCATCCTTGTCACTGAAAGAATTCGATCTTATTCAAAACTTTGGGGAGGAAAAAAGGGCATGAAACTGAGAAAATCAACTCTCCATCCTCATCCTTGAAGGAATTCGGTCTTATTCAAAACTTTGGGGAGAAAAAGAGTGGAATGGGATGAAACACAGAAATCCACTTTCCATCCTTGTCCTGAAATGATTCTATCTTATCTAAACCTTTTGGGGAGGAAAAAGTGGATGAAACAGAGAAATCAACTCTCCATCCTTGTCACTGAAAGAATTTGATCTTATTCAAAACTTTGGGGAGAAAAAGAAGGGGATGAAACACAGAATTCTTTCCATCCTCATCCCTCTTCCTGAGAGCAGATTTCTATCTTATCCAAACCTTTGGGGAGGAAAAAAAAGGGATGAAACAGAAATCAACTCTCCATCCTCTTCCTGAAATAATTCTATCTTATCTAAACCTTTTGGGGGGGAAAAAAGTGGATGAAACAGAGAAATCCACTCTCCATCCTCGTCACTGTTTCTGAAATAATTCCATCTTATTCAAAACTTTGGGGAGAAAAAGAAGGGGATGAAATGGAGAAAATCAACTCTCCATCCTTGTCACTATTCCTCAAAGAATTCTATCTTATTCAAATCTTTGAGGAGGAAAAAGGGTGATGAAATAGAGAAATCTACTTTCCATCCTTCTTCCTGAAAGAATTTTATCTTATCCAAACTGATCCCTCAATAAATGAGTTTGAAAATATTCGGGAACAAATATTGGCAATTTGGGAATATCAAAAACCCCTGAAAAGAGGGGAAAAGCACCCAAAATCACAACCTACCATAAATGAGTTTGAAAAGATTCTGTAACAAATATCGGCTATCTGGGAATATCAAAAACCTCTCAAAAGAGGGGAAAAGCACCCAAACTCATCACTCCATAAATCCAAACTGAGCTTGAAAATATTCTGGAACAAATATTGACTATTTGGGAATACCAAAAAACCCTCAAAAGAGGGGAAAAACATCCAAACTGAGTTTGCAAAGATTCTGAAACAAATATTGGCTATTTGGGAATATAAAAAAAGATTCTGGAACAAATAATGGCAATCTGAAAATATCAAAAACGCCTCAAAAGAGGGGAAGAGCACCCATAAATGAGTTTGAAAAGATTTTGCAACAAATATTGGCTATCTGGGAATATCAAAAACCCCTGAAAAGAGGGGAAAAGCACCCATAAATGAGCTTGAAAAGATTCTGGAACAAATATTGGCTATTTGAGAATATCAAAAAAGATTCTTGAACAAATATTGACAATTTGGCAATATCAAAAACCCCTCAAAAGAGGGGAAATGCACCCATAAATGAGTTTGAAAATATTCTGGAACAAATACTGACTATTTGGGATTATCAAAAAAGATTCTGGAACAAATATTGGCAATTTGGGAATATCAAAAACCCCTCAAAAGAGGGGAAAAGCATCCAAATTCCCAACCCACCATAGGCCTCCTCGATCAGGCTGCAGTAGGGGTTGATCCCGGTCCCGCTCTGGTTGGCCTCCTGCTCTCCCAACCTCAGGATGTTTTCCAGCCCGTTCAAAGCCACCAGGACAATTTTGGAATCCATCACTGTCAGCAGATCACACAGGGGTTTGATACAGCCCAGATTTACCAGGTACCTGCAG